ATCTATCTTCAAACAGATTGACAAACAGTACGAAAGAATGCGATATTAGAACAGTATCTAAGAGTATATGTCAACTACCAACAAGACAATAGGTACAAATATCTATCTCTAGTAGAATTCACATACAACAATGGAAAACAAGAATCAATAGGAATGTCACCATTCTATGCCAATACAGGAAGACACCCCAAATATCCGAACATCAATAACCTGATAAGAAAAAATCATACATCTACCAACATGATACAATTACAAGACATATCGGTAACTTCAATAACTAATGCACAGTTAAGACAGAAAGAATACTATGATCTTAAATGAAAACCAAATCTAAACTTACAATCAGGAGATATGGTATGGTTGCTAACCCATCATATCAAGACCAAGAAACCATCAAAGAAACTCAACCACAGAAAAATGGGGACATGGAAAATCCTGGCAAAAGCGGGGCCCAGTTCTTGTAAATTGGACCTCCCACCCGGCATGAAAATCCATTCAAAATTCCACATCTCACTTCTCGAACCATATGAAAACAACAAATTTCGCTCTCAAATCAAGCAACCCCTACAATCTATCGATATAGATGGTATAAAAGAATAGGAATATGACAAGATTGTTGACTCTCGTCAATACTACAAAAATGTCCAATACTAGACCAAGTAGACTAGTTATCCATCAGAATACAATAAAACTTGGTATTCAGTATACAACTTTAACAATGCCACTCACACCATCACCATATTCCATGAACTGTATTTATGAAAGCCAAGTACAACCTTGAATAACTGTTAAGCTCAAGTCCATCAGTAATGATTGACTACACATTACAGCCCCTACACCTCATGAAGAATGGGGAGATATCCCAAGAGCTATCATGCTTACTAGTCCTAAATATTCAGGATCTACTGAAGCTGAGCTAAATGCTCGGGTAGAAAAGAGGAGAGTGACCGTGGAGTATAATGTCCTGTCATGGACAGCCTGCTATGAGGATGGGTGCCTAGTACATATCCAGGACAAGGAAGGGGCAAACTATTAGCCTCAAGCACCATGAAAGAAGTACGCTTACATTAAGCATAAACCACTCAAGGAATGCAGGCCTCACTGCCATCATATGGATACTACCTTAACGAAGTGTTATCAGGATAGATGTCACTACCACAAACAGGCGAAAATCGACACTCGAGGATACCCCTAGCAAGATGGTATGATAAAGCCCTTCACTGAATGGCATGAGATCTATCGGAAGGGGAAGGAAACGAGAAAAGCAAAACTGGCTGTAAGAATGCAGCCAGAGGAGGAGGGGGGTGGAAAGTCCAAAACCCCCACAGACCTGGATGTCCATGTATTACAATGACAGATTGCTGACCTCCGCGAGTAGTTATACAACTCTGAAAACACAATTGCCGTACACCTCAATACAATCGGAATATAACAAAAGATGATCAAGATTGCAAATACCACACTAGAAATGAAGAGACACAAATACAATAGTGAGTGTGAAAACCTTGCAAGGATGAGGAAGGCAGTCTGAGGAATAGGACAGGAATTCCTAAACCTTGGGCTAAGAAGATAGGAACTGGAAGAGATTCAGATTTGAGTAAGAACGGGGCTACTGTCATGAACTAGATTGTGACAAGATAGATTAAGGAGATGGAACAAAGGTTTTCACATGACTCGCACTTGTAAGTCATAGGAGTTTATTGTTATGCGATGACTCACAATTGTGAGTTATATAATGTTATGATTTTTATGCGTGACTCATAATTCTGAGTCACGACTTTCACTCATGTGACACTTTTCAGCCCATATGACTTGTTATGAGATTTATGATTGGTTTAAGTATATTACACAGTTGACTCATATGAGTCAACTGAAGATTTCACATGACTCATGATTGTGAGTCATAGGGGATGGTGATGCAAAGGTATGAGTCATATAGGGTTAGGGTTGAGTGAGGTATCTGTATAAATAGTGAGATCTAGAAACCTCTAGTGTAGCATGCTTTGTCACTCCTATTTTCCTCCCACATAGTTTGACAATACTATGTCAACTATTCTAGATCCCTCCCACTCGCCTCTGCCACCTCAATAGTTCCTGCCTAGGGGTACAGTTAACTCCTTCATCCTCTCCTACCTTTACCTTGCTGGTCTCTTGTTTACTTGATAGGGGAGTTATCTGAGCTTACCCAGTAGTCCTCTCTCCATAATGGGAGCTCACTTAGCTTTGACACTATCTACTTCTTGCCTTCATTTCTAGATGGCGTTAACAGTGGTGGAATTCCTTCTCCTCACTTGCACGATCCCTGTTGGTGAACTCCTCAGCTAGTAACTTTGGAGTCTGTCTCATAGTGAGATTTGACTATACCCTCCTCGTCACCCAGTTCAGGCTATGGTCACCTTCCTCACCTCGCTCTTCTGCCTCCCTACTACCAGCAGAATTCTTTCCACTAAGTAACACTACGCCTCAGAGAATAAGGGACTACATGAGAGACAGGGTAAAATGACATTAGTTTAGTTTCTATGGTTGGGTTTGCACTGGAGCCATTGGCTCTCCCTCTATCTTCCACTTCATTTACGTCAGCTCACACTCTACTGCCTTTCCTCCTTGGCTGGTATCCTACTACCTCCTCCCTCCCCTACGTGGTGTTCCGAGGTTTTATCCTACAGCCTGCCCGTGGTCAATCATTGGCTGACCTTGGGCCTGGTACCTAGACTCTTGTTCTCGATTGGTAGGTCGTGGTATTGCACTACAACTGTGGCTCAGCTGGTTGGGGGTATCTCGCCTTAGGGCTCTTCATCAGCTGTACATATCTGGAGTTGTTCTTTATAAAAAGCAACCTGGCCGATTGGTGGACAGTAGTTATTTTTTTTGGTGGCCCTTATAGGTTTAGTGGTTTACAGGATAGAGTTTTTCCTTATGCTTTTCTGACTAGCTTGTTGGGCTTTCTTTCTGTTGGCTACAAGTAGTTAGTAGAAGGGGTGGTCTTTCAGGTAAGAAAGCTTCTTGAGTATAAGGTTTTTCACTTCTAGGCGAGATCCTTTCGTATTCAAGTTGTAACATCTACTGACCGGGCACCTGAGTTGATCGCCTTTAGAGTGTGTGTGGTTGGGCCTATACCAGATGGTTTTGGGGGTACAGGTTTTCTCTTGGTCTGAGGTGAAGGGGTTTTTTTTAATACCATAGCTAGCGCTACATGCAATGTTCTTGTACCTTAAACAAGTAACTAGATGATTATAAAAATGAAAAAAAATAAAAAGGATCTCCAGTACAGACTCCTCACGCAACCACTCAGGTTCTTTCCTATACTACAAGTTGAATCAATGCTATTTACACTTGTTCAATGAGGTCTCGCTTACAAGAGGTAACGTGAGTACAATATTATCCTCGCTATCAGAAGTGATAGCAATGATAGGAACTCTCTGAACTATCGAGGTATCAGGAAAATAGAAGAGATAAGGTCGTTACGTGTTGAAGAGCTAAGTACGGAGGAGTAGGATTGTTACAGCAGTCTAACAGCAGTCTTATATAAAAGAAATACGAATTAAAATTGTAAAAATATAGTTGTAGATTTTAATGGTGAATTGAAATTTGACAATGAAAAGCGAAGCCATATATAATTATCAAATTAATAAAATATTATAAAGTAGCTGTAGTATAGACAGTCATAGCTCGAGTTTCATAAGTATCATATTATGACTTTATGTCTAGGATGAGATGGAAAATTATTCCATGTTCTCGTATTAATATTGAATGAATGGAAAACCGGTGAAAGGACAGTCAGTGATCAGTTATCACACGTGGGCCTACCGCGCCCACTTTGCGGATTCATGTGATTTCTTCCGCAGACAACAGCTATGGAAGCTCGCTTAATAGGTGCACTCGTAGCTTCGAAAGTTTACTTACCTGTACACACAATTCGCCCAAACGAACGGTGGAACCGGTGAGAAGCCAATTCCGCCTGACGATCGATCAACCGCCGCCCCCCCCCGCAACGCGGCTCCACTTCAACCTCCCCAGATCCACAAAGTGACCAAAGTGACAATATCCCAAGTCAACAGGCAAACCGACCCCCCCATCACTTCCAACCGGACAGAACATCTCCTCTCGTTCACACTCCGCACGCCCCCCACCTCCACCTCCGATGGAGTCTGAGCAAGCGGGCTCATAGTAATGTAAAATCCGACCGACCCCGGTCCGCCAAGACAATAAACAAGACAATTCCCACCCCACTTGTACCATCCCTGTCCCTACAACCTTCAATTCTACTCGTACATTCCCCTGTCCCGCTCGGGCACGCTTTACCAAAGAATATCACACCAACTTGTACAAGTATCATACATATCAGAATCAAGACCACCACACACCTCGGTGGCACCGGGCCCAAGCAGAAATTGTTGATCAATTCTTGTACAGTACCGTACCGTGCTGTACCCGTACCTGCATGGAAAACATGAAAAAAGCACAATCCAAGCACGGGACACGTTCGGACTAAACACAATAAACAAGAGCGGAGCCAACAGATGCGGTAAAACCTTATCCTAATGATCGATGCGCGCTCTGCTCCCCCCGATCAAAAAGCCCATGACAGGGAAGGAACCCTTTTGGGAGTGTGTACGCGGTGAACAGGGTCACAGAAAGTCACTCGGGACAGGAGGACCCTGGTAGGGGGCCTGAATGCGAATGAGGGGTTTCGGATGGAATAAGAGGGTGGGGGTACTGGTTCGAAGGTTAACCTGAGATGGCATGTTGAAATGGGTGGATCGGAAAACATGGGTGGGGGGCGGTTGAATATCCCTTGTTATTAATTTCCCAAGCGGGATAGAAACGGTCAATGGGGTGGTGGACTTCGAGTAAAATTTGATCACAGATAACTGGTACAATCTCGAACTTTAATGTGACTTGGCTCAACAAATTCACTTTAGCACTAACTACGGTACAGTACAGCACCACATCTACATCTTTCCCATCCCTCCACTCTCTACTGTACTTTTCTCCCACCGAAAAAAATCAAACATTAAAAACACTAGGACCCCCAAAGCTCGGGCCATCCAGCAAGAAGTTGAATGGATCAGGGCATAGGACCATAAAAATTTGCAAAAAATTCCAAAAAGCGAATCGTCAAGTTAAGTAAACATTAATCAAATCTGCGTGTCCCCCCTATTTATCAGTTGTCAGACCGGTGGCGAAGCCTTTTCCGGTAGGTTTGAAGGCAACAGTGGGCTCAGTTCCATTCCAGTTGGTGAAGGTCTTCGCGTAGACGTTCGTGATGGTGCTGCATTTGCCAGTGGAGCATCCGACGACGGTGGTAGAAGGAGTGGAAACACCTGGGGAAACGGTGACAGTAGCGTAAATGGTGGTAGGGTTGTAAACGGTAACGGTAGAGACAGCAGGGCAGACACCGCTTCCGCTGAAGCCAGAGGTGGTACCCTTAGCAGGGCCAGTAGGGTTAGAAGGAACGCTGGCCGCGGGAGCAGTGGTGGTTTGTCCGGCTGAGACAACGATCGGAACAACGGTCTTGATCTCCTGAATTATCTTGACGGAGCTAGTGGGGGTCGAGTCGGCGGGTTTGATGATGGTGGTATCGGGTGCTACTGAACCTCCTGGGCCAGCGGGTGTGGGAGTGGCGTAAGCACACTTTGTGCAGGCGGAGGTGATGGTGATGGTCTTCAGGTCCGACACGTAAGTGGTGTACACCGAGGCGGTGGTGTAGTAGCTAGTTGTACCGGCAGCAACGGTGGTGCAAGGAACCATGACGGTCCATGTCAAAGTCTTAGTCTTGGTCATGGTGGACAAGGTGGTGGTAAAGCCATCGACCATTGATGTTCCATGAGCAATGGTGGAAGACGAGGCTGTAATCGGAACAGAGCTTCGAGAAGAGCCGGTGCCAGTTCCGATGGGAACGGGGACCGAGGAGGAGTGGGATGGAGCAGTTCCCATGGGAGCGGAGACCCAGGAAGAGTGGGATGGAGCAGTTCCCATGGAAACGGGGACCGAGGAGGAGTGGGATGGAGCAGTTCCTATGGGAGTGGAGACCCAGGAAGAGTGGGATGGAGCAGTTCCCATAGAAACGGGGACCGAGGAGGAGTGGGATGGAGCAGTTCCCATGGGAACGGAGACCGAGAAAGAGTGAGATGGAGCAGTTCCCATGGGAACGGGGACCGAGGAGGAGTGGGATGGAGCGGTTCCCAAGGAAACGGGGACCGAGGAGAAGTGGGATGGGGCAGTTCCCATGGGAACGGGGATCGAAAAGGAGTGGGATGGTGCAGTTCCAATTGGGGAAGCGACAGAGCTGGATGAGCTAGTTCCAGTAGAAGTTCCAGTTGCAGTGATGGTTCCATTCATGCTACCAAGATATTAGTTTCTTGCATCGTGATATCCACTACCAATCAGACTCACTGATAATGAACACCCTGAGGAGCAGCGGCCGCAAGGCCCTGCATCAACGCAACAGCGAGGAGCGAAAGAGACTTTGAAGTATGCATCTTAAGCGAGCGTGGGTGCGTAAAGCAAGTTTAACGAAAAATAAAAAAAAAGATTAATATTGAAATGAGGGAGAGTGCTGAACGACTGAATGAGGTGAAGAGGAAAGGTAAAGAGAAAGGGCTATTCGAGCGGGCATGATGGGGAATATATATATCGTTCCCCCTACGACAACCCGCCTGCGTAAATTGGTAGGGGAGCGGCAGTGTAGGAGCGCTCGAGTGCTCGAGTAGGCTGCTGCGATACAGTACTAGTGCCTTACTCAGCCATAACCACCATGAGATGAAAGGAAGAGAAGCGGAAACACCGAGACGGCAGAGAAGCTCTTCCGGAAGAAGGAAGGAACTACAGGGCTGAAATTTGATCCGAACCGAAACCAAGGATTGCAAAGTGGTGGTTGCATTGGAACGATTTCTGGAAAGGATGGCACGGACCACGTAGGTTGAAAGGGGCCACGGAGGGTGCTGATATTTCGAACGGCGGCACCGCCACAGGCGATGAGCACCTATGACACTCATCTCTTGTCATCTTTGTCGGTTACCGGTAGTAGAGTAGCCAGTTGCCCGTAATCTATTCTGCGCTCGCATTGGCATTACTCGAGTAGGCTACTGGTAGAGGCATTCTGGCCCCGGGTCGGAAAGTTTTCCAGCAGATTTTTATGATACGAGTACTGTACTGTACTCGAAACTGGTGGGTGGCGATGTACGAGTACTGTACAGTACCGGTACAGTACGAGTACAAGTACCTACCGTAGGGATTATTTGATCAGACTATCACGTTGTCTGGAAAGAAATCCAATGTCACACCCAGACAAGTTTCTTAATGGACCATTCCCAATTCCAATTTATGTCTCCCATCCGCTATCCATGTTCCTGGGGTATCATATCGTACCCGGTAGCTACTCTCGATTACCTATTGTCTCTGAAAGCTCCCGAGATTCCATATTAGTTACGGCTCTGGGCCAAAACTAGTATCTAATCATCCCCCCGAGTACTGTACTGTACTCGAGTATGATAAATAAATAAAAAGTCATCACACACACCAAAGTCCTTGAACCCCAAAAGGACTTGCTTCAGGTTAAACGCTTTTCAACATGGGGGCTGAACACCACCAGCCACTTATCCAAAGACATCTCCACCCCCATACCCTCTCTCACCAAAGACTAACCCAAAGCGGAGGAAGGGGGACGCAATCTAGCGCCAGAGCCACACACACACCCAAGCTCTGGTTTAATATCTTCGCGTCTAGGCCCTCTCAACAAATGCAGTATCATAAAAGCCATCTTTGAGTGGTCGCTTAGCAGCGAAGATAAATTTAGTAAAAAGAGCGAGACAGAATTGAATTCGCTCTTGCTCAATTCTTGTACTCGAGTAGTTCCCTCTCGGGTTAGCAGTGGTAGAGTTATTGTACGCTGGTAAGGTCATGCAAATACTTCGGTTAGTCGCGATAAGTAATTAATCCGATATCCAGTCTTGCCCAAATAGTAGGGTACGAGTACCGTACAGTACGAGTACCTTCGAAGCAAAGTACCGGTAATCGGGGCAAAGGCCGGAAAATCCTCAGCATGGATCTCCAGAAAACCATGGTACCAGTCCACCAGCATCCGTCCCACGGGGCTTGGCTAGGACGATGGCGGGGGTGATAAACTTAGTCAGGGCGCCGGACGGAGCAGATAAGAAACTAAGAGGGTAACTTATGGTATGGTACGATATCGGGAAACCCTTCAATGCATCTCTTTCCAGATCTCAAGATCCCGATACCCGAAGAAAAGTAAGCACAAGTGGCTATGGTAATCAGTACTCGAGTAAAGAAAGCTTGAATTCATCATAAATAGATCTGATGGCGCCACAAGCGTAATAATTTGTGGAAACTAGAATCACCCGCAATCTGACTCTAGCGCAACTCGAGCACAGCATTCAAATCCTATCAACTGCCAGTACGGTGGTTAACTCGGCAGTGAGCTGGCTTGATTTGACTTTTCTTTCCTTTGCCTTGGCTTATTTCAGTCCCCTTGCATACCTGAGAGGATTCTTGTGTGTTGCTGACACTACTGCTAGTAGAATCAACTCGAGTACTGTATTCCGGTACCCTGCCTTCGGGCAATACCGGTAGCTCAATGCAGACCTCAAGTAGGATTTTCCAACGATTTGTACTTGTAACAAGGCGGTACAAAGTTAATCTGGATGATAAGCAAAACTCCCCCATTCGCTCTTCCGCGCTCTAAGCACTAGTGCGATATGTATTTAGCCCTCGCCCACTTTGGAAGGATATTATACTTCGCCAAAACCGTTCGGCATTGAACATCTGGTCCAAAATTCCCGCGGGCAGACAATGGCGCGGCGGTTGTCTGAGTGGCCCGGGGAACGCGAAGATGGAGATGAGCCAAATCACTTCCTCACACTCACGACTGACACGGAAGTGGAGGATATTGAATTTTTTCCGGATACAAAAATGGCAACATCGAACTACGGATATGGATTAGATATGAGTTTAGAGGTCTCTGGCACGATTTGTAGAATCATGTCTGGGATGAGTAGTGTTTCGGACTACAGTCAGGATGCCTAGTGAAGAAGTGAAAGTTTCATGGCTCCGATTAGATCGGCAGCACTCCTAAATTTCAAAGTATGATACCCCGCCCAGCGGCAGTTCGATACGAGTAAACCCACTTTTTCGTATAAACGGATCCGCCATACCCGGGCATACCTCCCTGATAAGAGATAAGACAGTCAAGTACTGGTACTCGTACACACCGGCCATACACCACTACACTGTTAGGTGTGAGAATGGGCAGAGAGTAGTGGTTACGTGTTGTCAGCATATGGCCAGGAGGTATTGTCGTCAGCACTCAGAGAGACTATGGGTAAGGGGACTACCCCTATATGTAGCTAGTTCAGGGGATTCCAGAGAGAGAGGGAACGAAGATAAGGACACCTCTGAGCAGCAGCGGAAAGTCTCTGAGTTCATGAGAGGCTTTCAGTTCCTGGGTCGAGGGATCATTGATCAGTGAATTTCCATCATCTCCATCTCACCAGTATCGTTGACTTTCATCTGCTTCTGACCATTGACCATTCTGCAAACTTCTCAGAGACCTACTACCGATTGTTGTAATAAAACCCAGAGAGGTAAGAACAATAACTCCACGGTGAGGCTAATAGAGGCCACTTCAAGGCTACCATTTAACCGTTTGCCATTGCCCGAAAAGAACGCCACCTCCCTCAACCAAGGATCCACAACACGCAGTCGTTCTCCACTAACTCGGGGGGCTAGGATAGGGTGCGGAAAAACGCTTCGGATCGGTATATCTTCTTGAGCCTCGGGTCTCCATTAATAGTAACGGAAAGAACCATGTTCGAGTGTCTAGTTCTGTCAGCGGAGCGGAGGGTTTATGGGGTGGCAGGTGTTTCTTTCTGGATACCGAGGCATAGGGGATTGACCGAAAAAATTCTCCGGAGCCTAGCCTATCATCAAGGCCAGCTAATACCAATGCCGAAAAAACAAACTTTGAGGAGATCCAAAATAGCAGCGCTATGCCATCCGTGGTTGGAATATGCTCCAGCTCCCTGGATCCCCGAGGGATCTCCATGCCCTGTCCAAGCCACAACCAAGCCTTTTTTAGTTCGCTCTAGCTGCTTAGAGCTGCGGTATCATCCACTCACATCAAAAACCAAGCAAAAATGCACCTCGGATACGCGGGTTTTCTCAGCTGAACTCTATCCCCTTCTAGGAAAGTAAGCAAGCCCCAACTGGCTCTGCGAAGAAAACTATGATATCACACAAAGAGAGCTCAAATGTTACCGGTATTATCTCAGGGTTAGGTTTCCCTTCTCCCCTACGAGTAGATCCGGCGGCGTACTGTACCATACCGTGCGAGGGTTTAGACCAGAGGTGAGCCTAACTTATGGTGAGTCCACATCCTTGCCCCCACTGTGGCGGTGATCTATTCCCTGCAAACTTAGATCCTAATTACTCGAGTACCGTAATCGTGCCAAGTTCCCACCGACAGCGAGCGGTTTCAAAACCTTGTGGCACGTCTTCGATGTGCCTTTTGGCTTAACGTTAGATTCGGCTCAACGTCAGATTTTGTTAAACAAGCAACTGTAAAATACATTTTCTCAACCCAATTGCTGTAAGTTCATACTACATTCATTTCTAATTTCTTATAGAACGTTTAACTTCTTGGAAGATAGGCTTCCATTGTTTTTGTTTTTTTTTCGGTTACAAATTGCTTCCTTCTTCACTCGTTCAAGTTCCTTCTCAGCTTTTTCAACCTTCTTTACAGCATCATCCACTGGCTTCTTACAAACAATCGCATGTACTTCATGTACATAGAGTGCACCTCTCTTCTACACTACCCTTTGTGACCGTTGCTGTGGAGCTGCGCATGCTAGCTGTGCTGTAATGATCCCTCTTCAAATAGTTAGTTCTTAGTGACAGGGAATGATATCTCTCATCTTTTTTTCTACTTCTTTGCCTTACAATAGCACTAGGCCTATGCCTACATTATCGATAGTACAAGACCTTTGTCTTCTATTGAGAATGCCTATCATAAGCTTTCTCTAACTCTTCTTCATGAAGAGTATTCTCGTCGTAATAGCAATAAAGGTTGTGATAATGATAAAGTAGGTAAAGGTGTAACGTGTTCGCAAGGTGCTCATCACGTTGTCGGTAAAGAATACGATAGTTGGCAGGTGGCCTGCTCTTCTGGAGAGGAGGCGAGAGCTGAGAACTAAAGGAGGCTTCGAGGGTGTACTGAGAAACAAAGAAGTAACTGTTCAACCAAGTATATTGAAATACTGTCTGTCGAAGTCTGCCTTTTCTATCATAGAAACAGGCGGTCTTTAAATACACAAATCTGTTCATGTCTAGCATGAACAAAACTAATCAAAGGTATCAATTGATACTCTTTGGTAAAACTCCTTAAGTATCAAAGCGATACTTAAAACAAAACATAAAACAAAACCAAGTATCAAACGATACTTAAAACAAACCAAGTATCAAAGCGATACTTAAAACAAAACATAAAACAAAACCAAGTATCAAACGATACTTAAAACAAACCAAGTATCAAAGCGATACTTAAAACAAAACATAAAACAA